AACATTTGCCTGCCATCCTTGCATCTCCTCTGACTCAATGCCTTCCGGGAGTGGTTCCATCATTGTCTTCTTGTTACCTACGTGTAGTCAACGAAAAATACAAACTACACGCTCAGCGAAACCGCTGAGTGGTACCACGCTAGAATTGTAGAACAATTCATAGACATATACATATACATATATATACGTCCACAAAATGTATAATAATATTCATGATATGGCACATTATATTGTATGTTCAATTTGATGATTTATGATGGTGGACATTTGATGATGATTACCTGATGGCATATTTAATCAGTATAATTATTCTTGATGATGATTACATGACACCTATGTAATCAATATAATTGTTCTTGATGATGATTACATGATACCTATGTAATCAATGTACTTGATGATGATAACATGATTTCACATTTAATCAATTTGATTGTTTTTGATGATGATTACATGACACCTATGTAATCAATGTACTTGATGATGATAACATGATTTCACATTTAATCAATTTGATTGTTCTTGATGATGATTACATGACACCTATGTAATCAATGTACTTGATGATGATAACATGATGCATGATTCTAACGAGCAAGGACACCCTTGCGCTATGAGATTCGCCCATTTGGTACGACGAACTCACGCGGCCTTAGTCTCACGAATGAGGTGAGACTAGAAAAATATGGGTGGTACTCGAAACCTGAATACCATGTACGTACACTAAGCCCGGAACGGGTGATGTCGGACTAGTAAGTCCCGCACATCACGCTATAAGAGACGCAATTACGCATGATCTCTTACGCATGCATATGATATGATATGCTACAATATGTGTGATGAAATGAATGATATGACATGAATAATTTGTAAACAATATGAATATATAATCATGCATTAGTTTATTTGGATGAAACATGATTAAAATATCATTTAATTAAGCTACGGGGCTCGGAACGGTTGACCGTTTGGCGCGACGGTCGACCTTGATCTTCATCAGGTCGGATTGGAGATTCACCGTGACGGTCGACCGTTGTTGACTAGAGGTGGACGGCGGCACTTGGCTGGACAGGCGACGGTCGACCGTTGGCCACCGGCGGTCGACCGTTGGTCTGACACTCTTGTTCCGTTTCGATTTTTAACACGACGGTCGACCATTTGTGTCGACCGTTTGGGTCTGCGAACCTTTCTCTTGATATTTTGAGTGTCCAAAATACTTCTTTAAGTCTTTTAAGCACCTTTGATTAACATATACATATTGTTGGGTTGATTTCCAAAGTTTATATTTACTTATGTGTATATTAACTTTATGGATTTGGTGTATTTTGATCTCTACATATAGATAACTTATATATGCATCACATATATACTTTGGAATGGTTTTAACATATGAAATAACATATATGTTCATGTATGTATGTGATGAATGATTCGACAAGTCTAACGCAAAGGTACAGACCTGGAAATCATCGGCCGAAACCTTACGGATGAGCGGGAGTGAAAACAATATCGAAATTCACCAACTTTGTCATTCCCGTCACAATTGGACAGCCTGCGGTATTTTGAGCATATCTCCATCGTTTCTTCACGGAATCGCAAACCGTTTGATTCTGTGGATTCCTAAGA